CTAAGGGATCACCATGAGTCCTGTGTGTCAGGCTGAGTCACTTTTCTAATAGTTAAAGAGATTTCCTAGGCTAGTGTGACCAAAGCGGGCCTGGACAAAGCATTCATGAATCATCCTGGAGGATGAGTGGGAATTACTTTAAAACAGAAAATAATCAGAAGTTCTGAAGCCAGGAATGTGTGGATATTTTTATTGAAATTGAGCCATTTTTTTCTCCCTTCCCTTCCCTTCCTTTCCCTTCCCTTCCTTCCCTTCCCTTCCCTTCCCTTCCCTTCCCTTCCCTTCCCTTCCCTTCCCTTCCCTTCCCTTCCCTTCCCTTCCCTTCCCTTCCCTTCCCTTCCCTTCCCTTCCCTTCCCTTCCCTTCCCTTCCCTTCCCTTCCCTCTTTCCTTCTCTCCTTCCTTCCTTCCTTCTTTCCATTCTGTTTCTCTCCCTTCATAATTTCTCTTCTCCCTGCCTTTGTCTTTATCTCTCTTTGTTAAGCCTTTACTTCCTTTTTTAACATCTTAACTTATTAATTTATTTTTAACATTCATTTTTAAAAATTGAGTTCCAAATTCTCTCCCTCTTTCTAGCTTTTTCCCTACCCACCGAGAAAGCAAGCAATCTGGTGTCAGTTATACAATTGAAATCATGTAAAACATATTTTAAACATTTCTTAAGAAAAACCTTCTAGGATAACCTCAGAGTCACTTCCAATGGTCATTGTTGTCTTTTTTTCCCTGAGATACTTTTAATTTTCTCCATTTATCAATACTTTTTTTTTTAATTTCTCAGGTTACCTCATAACTTAAGACAGCTTCATTCTGCATGCATCTTGGCTGTGGTTGGTGCTTTCCTTATCAAATAAAACCCAGAAGTGAATTTTATTGTATCATGTAAACGTAATTGATCTATTTTCTTAAAACCGTCTTATTAGTTAGTATTTCAGCCCTTAATTAATCCATTAAGCATTTCCTCAGAGTGTTTGCTCAGCTTCATCATTTGTAAAGCGACTTTGTGGAAAAGTCTGTAGTTGGGCCTAAGCAGAAACAATAAGGCAAAAGACAGATGTTTCCATTACTCTTCTTTCATTGCTACAAAGAGTTAACGTGGGTGGAATACAGGCATTGGACTCCTATGCTAAATGCATGTTCTCTCTCTGTCTCTCTCTCTCTCTCTCTGTGTGCGTGTGTGTCTGTCTGTCTGTATATGTATCTGTCTCTCTGTCTCTTCCTATGTCTGTCTCTCTCTCTGTCTCTCTCTCTGTCTCTGTCTCTCACCCTCTCTCTCCCTCCTCCATTCCTCTGTCTCTTTCTCCCCATCCTCCTACCTACCTGTTTCCATTGACTGATTATCTTTCCCCCCATTTTACCTATAGATTTTATGACTGCTAGAGTTATCACCTTTATCTGTTGTCGTAAATGTGCACACCTGCAAGTTATTTTATATTACAGCACACCTGCCAAAAGAGAATGGGTGTCCTATTTCAAACGGATTCTCCAGAATTTGTCATTAAATATTACAATAGAAGCAATAAAATGACTTGGGTTACAACCTAGGATTTCATTTTCCAGTAACCATCAGAAAATTCTCCTTTTAAGACACTTGAACTATTTCAATCAGGATGGTATGCCAACTTTAGATCCCTCCAGCCCAACTTTTTTTTCAACTTTGGAAAAATTTGCAATTTTAAAAACAATTTTCCTTCAAGGAAAAGTCAGTTGGTTAATTCAAAAGGGAGCACAAATAGAAACAAATATGGAAAACCATAAATTAAATATATATCTGTCTCTGAGAGAAGCTTTCTTTTCATTGGGTATTCTCATTAGATATACATTGTCTTAGTTGTGGGGCACTGTCTATCAATCTAATTGGCTTTCTATTGTCTGTCAACCTCTCACCCACATATGTATGTACATATGTGTATGTATTAATGTGTATAATTAATGAGATTGACTAAATCTGTTAAAGTCTGTAAGATTGAAATGTGGCCAAGAAACATTAGCCAGTTACTCTTCAATAACATAATGCAAATTTACTTCCTATATATTATATATGTGTAAAATATTCATTGAAGAAAGACAGTAAATATATATGACATGTGTATATGAGTATGCACACACATCTGTATGGATGACTAGGGACTGGACTTGTAATTTCACCAGTACAGACAGCTCCCAGGAGAAATTTCCTCTACCAATGCAGGTCACCATAATCTTTCCAACTTAGTCTTAGAGGATTACTTAGAATAGAGTTGCAAAACACACTGTGAGGTATTATGACCTTCAACACAGATGTGTCCAGAATCTGATTAAGATGTAATTGGGAAACATTTGATAAAATAAATAAAATACAATAGAACATAGATGATGTTCATGTGTGATTTTCTAAGTCAATACATGGCCAGCAGGGATTCTGCAGTAACATTTGGTGGCCCCTGTTTCCATCTGAGTTTGACGCCACTGACTTGGAGCACTTAGAAATTAAGTGACTTGCCCAGCATAACACACCCTGTATATGGCAGATGTGGGACTTGAACCCAAGTCTTCCTCACTTCAAGGCCAACTGTTAGTTCTCTAGTCACTATGTCATGTTGCATCATAAACACACACACACACACACACACACACACACACACACACACACATATATATATATATTTATATAGTATATATATATATATATATTTAATTAATGTGCATATAAAATTTATGTGTAATTACTCTGGTGGGTTCGGATCATATTAATATGTTTTGCTTAAACCTTCATATCTGTAAGGTACGTGAGTAATGGCGTCATTAATCTTATTTCATCACTGGGGAAATTCATGCAGATTGTGCACTTGTGGAGGGAAAAATGAGAAGACCTCATATAGCATGTAGCATTGTGTAGTAGAAGAAGCATTTGGCTTGATGTCAGGAAATACCTGGGCCTGAATTCTATCTCTGATCATGTTAGTTGTATATAAATAGGCAAGTTATTTTATCTTTTTGACCATCAGTTTCCTCATCTGTGAAATGGGAATAATAACATTTGTAGTACTTACCTTACAAAGTTTGCAAGAATAAAATGAGATAAAAGATGGATGTAAAACATTTTGTAAACCTTAAAGTACCATATGAATTCAGTTATTAATAGTTTAAGCAATAGCAGTGTCCTGGTAGTCTCATACTAGCCAAAAGGCTAGTCAAGGATTCAGTATCTTAGAATGTTATTTCTGTAAAAGACCTTGGAGTTCTATTCAGTGGCATTTGGCATAACCTATGCTTCAGGCTGTTTTCCAGAAAGTGGAAGTAGCAGTGGCTTACCTCCTTTGGGAACTCAGCCCAGTGGTGTAACGAAATTGGAATTTGCTCAATCTGCATTGTGGAAGCTCTGGTTAAAAAAAGGAGAAGAGGAGGAGGAGGAAGAGGAAGGAGGAAGGAGGGAAGGGGAGGAAAGGAAAGGAAGAATAAGGATGATGCTGATGATGTGAGGATGACTGAACCATATGCTATTGATGGTTCTTGAATTTAATTAATGTCAAGCTGAAATTCCATGACTCTTTTGACTTGGGCAAAGACATAGACATCATGCTTCTCAAATTGGCAGATGTCACAAACCTGAAAGGGACACCTGATAAATTAGATAATTGATTTGTAATTCAATTGTAATTCAAAAATATTTCATTTAGCTGGAATGATGCGCCAAATCTAATAAGATAAAATACAGTTGGGATGAATTTGGATTAAAGAATAAACTATATAATTATATGATAGGGAAGATACAGCTAGATTGTGAAAGACCTCATGTGAAAGACTGTGGGAGAGTTAGTGGATAACAAGGTCAACATGAGTCAACAGTGTGGCACAGTAGCCAAAAAATCTAGCATGAATTTAGGCTTAATAACCCCAGAACAAAGAAGGTGATAGTCCCACTGTATTTTATTCTAGTCAGATCCCATTTGGAATGTTGTGATCAGGAAGGATATTGAAAAGCTGGGGCAAATTCCAAGTAAGATGATCGCAGTGGTCCAAGGACTCCACACGTGCTAAAGAAATCCATTTGAAAGTACTGTCTGTTCTAGAGAAGAAAAGACTTGGGAGTATAGGTCATGGCACATGTCTTCAAATGTCTGAAGGATTGCTTATTTGCATGCGGAATTTGAATTGTTTTGTATGACGACAGAATTAGCTCCAAGATTTCAATACAATATAAGGAAAAACTTCCTGAGTTGGGGCTGTCCCAAAGTAGAATGGCTCACTCCAGAAGGACTGTGGTGACTAACATTGTAGGTCTTCATGCAGAGAATGAAGTCAGCCAAGTGGTACAGTGGAGACAGAATGCTATGCCTGGAGTCAGGAAGACCTGAATTGCCACAGACACTAGCTATGTGACCATGGTTAGACTTCATTTAATTTTTCTCAGCCTCAGTTTCCTCAACTGCAAAATGAGGATAATAAAACCACTTACTTCAGGGGGTTATTGTGAGGATCCAATGTGTAAAGAACGTGTGAAGTCTTTTGCAAACCTTAAATCGCTATTTACTGTAAATGTTCACTATCATCTTTGTCGTCATCATTTCCAGGAACTTTGTAGGGCAGGATTCTCTTTTAAAAATTAATTGAACTGGAAGACCTCTGAGGGATCTTCCAACTCTGAGATTCTATTCATGGAATGGAGTTAGGAATGTCTCTAAATTTAGAGATATGTAAACTACTTAGTAATCACTGAAGGGAACAGAGAAGAAGAAGCTTCAAGTATAGAAACAGAGTTAGGAATAAAGCAGATCTCATGGAAAAGCAAAATTCTATGTCAGAAAAGTTAATTCCTCTGAGAGCTTTTTAGCCTCTTAATACTAAGTAAGAATTTTTCTTAATTGTTTTGTTTTAAACCAATTTGCACAAATTGTGCCTTATCGAAATCTTAGAATGATGGAAGAAAGTCAGTGGAGCCAAGACAAGGTGGGGGGGACTAAACTATGAGGCAGCGATGATTCTCCCTTTATGTCAACACTTTTCTTTTTTTCTTTTTCTGCAGGTCAGTGTCTTAACTACCCTAGAGCGGAGATTTAACCTGCAGAGTGCTGACGTCGGCGTAATCGCTAGCAGCTTTGAGATTGGTAACTTGGCCCTCATCCTCTTTGTGAGCTACTTCGGAGCCAGGGGACACCGGCCGCGTTTAATAGGGTGTGGTGGAATAGTCATGGCCTTAGGAGCTCTGCTTTCTGCCCTGCCTGAGTTCCTGACCCATCAATATAAGTATGAGGCTGGAGACATCCGGTGGGGAGCCAGAGGACGGGATGTGTGTGCTGCCAACGGGTCTACCAGCAACAAGAGACCAGACCTGGAGCTGATCTGCAGGAATAGGACTTCCACCAACATGATGTACTTGCTTCTCATTGGTGCACAGGTCCTACTGGGGATTGGTGCTACCCCTGTGCAACCTCTGGGAGTCTCCTACATTGATGACCATGTGAGAAGGAAAGATTCTTCCCTGTATATAGGTAAGAATGATTTAATATTTGGGTGGATGGTGCTGCAAAATAACTTTTTTCTTTTCCTCCTTTCACTATATCCAAGGGATTAGTAAGCAAGAAAAGGAAACAAATACATAAGTTCAGATTTTTTTTTTAATTGTGATAACACCTGGTAACCTTTTCTGTATGGAATTTAGTCTCCCATAGAATATATGACTTTAACCACCATATTAAACTTCTAGAACCTACCCACCAAGAAATACAGCATATATATAACAGAATATAACTGAACCTCATTCTTAGCACCCCCTTTAACTATCTTGATGCTCTACCTCAAAATGAAAGCTTTATGTTATTTAAATCTTAGCAGTTGGTGCCACAGAAAGCAAACTTATTCTTGTTATCTTGTGTCCTGGAAATTATAATGCTGTTGCATAAAGAAATTGGATAGTTAGAAAATAATTGCTCATATATTCTGCTCTATTCATTTTCAGTTCCCATACTTCTTAGGATTAAGGTGAACTGTGGTTAGCAATTTAACAATTTCACATCTAATGATCCAGTACCATCATTCTTCATGGAATAGGCAAAATAATTGTGTAAAGCTTAAGTCAAATGGAAGCAACTTGAATGATTCTGGTCATTTGCAGAACTCTTACAAAACAAGCAAATAGGCATTGAAGTAGGTTTGCAGTTCTTTTTTTTTCTCTCATTGAATATATGTAATCTCCTGTGTCTGTGTACTGGGCATTTAATTATTATGTTGTAGGTATCGAGATAACAAAGCATCTCCATCCCTAGTTTTATAAATTGCGCTTACATCTTAGTCAAACTATTTGACTATATTGTCACCTACTTCACCTCTCTTTGCTCTAAGCTTCGGGTAAGAGTACCTCTAAGATTAAATTCTTTGACCAAAGAAAATGAAAGGTTAGTTATTATGTAAATCATAGAACACTGAAGTAAGTTGGCAATGAAAAGTTCAACCTTTGCTATGAAAGATAAATAATCAGGAAAAGGTATTTTAAAAAAAACCTATAAGTCATATGAGCTTTGAATTACATTAGAGTGGGACTAAATAATGGGTCTAAAGTCCCAGTACAGATAAGGCATTTGCTCAGAAATCTTGTCCAGTAAAATCTTCTCTGACACATGGTTCGGTGATACTTCTTCATAGTAGATTAAGACCAGATGAGACCAAGGTTGGTTAGGCTATAGGGTAAATACGTATTTTGGTTGCTGGGTTCCCTCTGTTGAATGAAGAATTTTTCAGTAGTTCTGTCAACTATTCTGTGGTTCTCAGTAAATTCTTTTTGGAGGGAAGGATAAGGAAGGAGAAGAAAGACCCCTTTTGCTACTCAGACACTTTTTCCTCCATACTCTGTGAGGTACAAGAAGATTCAAGAAATGTGGTCATCCAGATATATCATGAACCTTTGGGTTGTTATCAATCTACTTATCTACCAGCAATTTTTGAAGTTTGTGTTCATGGTACCAGGCACTGAGAGAGGCACTGGGGATACAAAGATAACAATAAAACAGTCCTTGTCCTCAGGGAGTTTATATTTGGTCAGGGAGAACAACATGTACACATATGCAAGTGTATACAAAATAAATAAAAGGCATTTGATGGGGGAGTGGTAGGGCACCAGAATCTAGATGAGCATGGAGGGTAGAAAACAGGATGGTTTTAACTGATCAAGTCCTAGTTCTTGTTTTGCCTGTCTGTACTATCGTTCTGTCTCAGAATATATTTCATGGTGTTGTCTTTATACTTAAGAGTGGAGATTATATATCTTTCCCATATTGGCCTCAGCAGACAACCATCTTATTCCATGCACAATCTGAGCTCTCTAGAAACAGTATAAGAGGATCTGAGCGATGCAGAACATGAATGACCCACTCATTTAATTTATTACATATTTATTATAATTTTTATTTATTATTTAATTTATTTAGTATATAAAGCCTCCATGTTTCTTTTAATATGGATCTCTTACATGTTTCAATTGCCTGAGCAAATTAGCATGAATTTATGGGTCCCTGATTTCTCTTAATCTAATTAAGTGTGAATGTAAAATTAACACATCTTGTATCAAATGCAAGTTTAGGGAATGGTGGTGGTATGGTGTTATTTTATAGAAGAGGTTCTTGACCTAGGATCATGAACTTGTCTTAAAAAATATTTTGATAACTCTCAGTGTAATGGAATTATTTGTAATCCTATGTATTTAATTTTTGCAGAAGATATCCATAGGCTTCATTAGATTGTCAAATAGGTCCATGACACCAAAAATTAAGAACCTCCCAAGTAGCCTTGCAGATCCTCATTTTGAGCATTATTTTCCAACTGTTGTCAACTTTGCTTCAGCTGTTTTTTCTGAAGTAGAGTGAGATATACAATAGGCATCAATATGTGACCAAAGTTCAACTGTAGAGTCAGGATTCAGAAAATTTAAAGTAATTGGTGACCAATCCTCAGCCTTCTCTAGTGTTGAAATGGACTATGTGTATAGGAGCTGTGTATAGTAAATGGTTAGAAAGTGAAAATTTCAGTCCACAAGTTGGACTCTCTTCCTGCCCTCTGAATTGCCTGGTTTTTGTACTGAATAATTTGTTCTTGTTCTGGCATTCTCTGGATATGGTTTCTCTCATGATCCCAGTTTTCTCAATAATCCATTCAATAGGGGCTTCTTGGACTAGCACTGGTCTGTCCATGCTCATTCTTTTCTTACTCAAACAGTGAAGGAGGCAACTGACTGAGATCATTATCCAAACACAGAAATTTATGAGCATATTTTTGCATAGGGAAAGATGTGTTGTGTAGGCAATTAGCCATGGCCAACAATGCCCTTTCTTGGACCAGTGTGTTGCTGTTGCTTGTCTTTCATTTTCAAAGAGGACCATGGCATCAGGAAGGTAATGCTATGACTTGCAAGTGAATTGGATTTAAGTGAGGGAGGGCTATACAAAGTCACCAGCCTCACTTTCTCCTCCAGAGCCATCTGGGTCCAGTGGCAAGAAACAGGTCAGGATGACTAAAGATGGCCCCTTGGGCCAGTGACACTGTTTCTCAAAAGGCAAAAAATGTTCATTTTGTTTGTTTGTTTGCTTTAAGCACAGTTATAATGGACCTTCCTTGATCTAGTGGGGGCCTCTGAGTTAGGAGGATCTTATTGTTGTTGTTGTTGTTCAGTCATTTCAGTTGTGTCTGACTTTGTGAACACACAGACTTCTGTCCGTGGAGTTTTCTTGTCAAAGGTGCTGGAGTGGTTTGTTATTTCCTTCTCCAGTTGTAAAGAGAAGTTAATTGACTTGCCCAAGTTCACACAGCTAGGGAACTTCTGAGGCTGGATTTAAACTCAGGTCTTCCTGATTCTAAGCCCAGAATTCTATCCACTGAGCCACCTACCTGTCCCATTAGGGGGACTATCTAGATCCTAGTCCCTCCTCTGACACATACTCACTTATCCTCTCAATGCCAAATTCAAATAAAAATGAATACCTGTGGGCAGTGTATTGACCTAGAAAACCACAAGTTAACATTATCTGTCATATTTTTACTATTATGCTGAACATTTCCCAATTACATTTTAATCTGGTTTAGGCAAGCCATGTGTAGTCTGATGATCATGAATTGGACATCTCTGCTGTAGGAAACTGTCTAAGACTACACGGTAAAGAGAAGGTGGCAGCATACATTGGTAAAGAAAGTGTCCTCCCCAGAACTGTATATCTGTATATCCATGAAATTACAGGTCTAGGCTCAGATTCTTATAATCTAGCCACTGTTGGGATTCTTATAATCTAGCCACTGCTTACTCATGTTCAGACTCCTTAAGAGTCTGCCCAATATGATGGATGTTCTAATAAATCTTGTCTTTGGCTAAAAGAAGGTGTGGGTCGAATTCTTTTGAGCAAGACCTGCTATTGTGATATTGGGGTCCCAGGACCCCTGAACCCCTAAACTGCATCATTTTGATGGGCCATATGGGGAAGCTGCCTAAGTCCAAGTTCTTCTCCAGCCAAGACTGGAAGGTATGTAAGCCTCCTTCCTCCCCTCCTTTCTTGCTCTGCAGTTGGGGTCCCTCTCCAAGCACGAAGGCTTGGAGGTACTTTTCTGGCAGGCAGTTATGAGGCTGTCTCTTACTCAGCCTGACACTCTCAGTCCACTGGGTCAGTTCAAGGCTACAGACCTGGGTACACCTTCCACAGCATAGAGGACAAGGACAGATGCCCTATCTGGAAGTGTATGGTCAATTCTGTTAATCCCTCAGTGCTAGGGAATTGGGGAACATTGCAGTTGCTTTTTGGTTCCCTGAGGCGTACTTACTCCCTTCCCTCTGCACCTCTGAATCCTCCTTCATGGAGGTTACAGGGACAGTTAGAACAGCTAAAAATATCTTGGCATATTCTGAAGGTTTTGTGATTGATCATTAAGGAGTTTTGAAACACCTCCTTACAACCCTGGTCACTCCCTTCCCTTGAGTCAAGAGGGTATCTGTTAACCCCTCTCATAGGAGAAGAGAATTTTACCCTTTACCCCTCACTTTTGATTTCACCCTCCCCCATCTGGGGAAAAGGAAGGGGGGGAGGGGCATCTCTGGGGCGACCTTTGCTTGGAAGCATCATCCAGGTTCAGCCTATCCTGCTCAAGGTAATGAAGCTGGCCTCCAAACTTGGGTAAGCACGCTCTTCTTAAAGTTTTAGTTTTAACTGTTGATGATGAGATGTTGATTTTCTGTGTAAAGTAATTTTGGAAGTGCATTTAACAAAACTGAAGTCACCTGACTGGTAATGGGTTTGTTTTGTGAGAGATGATCTCTCAGAAGTGACGCCTCCTCAAAGGGTCAATAGTTCTTGTATTGTTGCCCTTCTGACCTTGTAAAAGCATGCTTTCAAAACAACCTCTCTCCCCCCCAAACCCCTCCCCAGCTCAGACCCTGTTTTTAAGCACGTAGCAGAAAGAATAGCCCTACCCCCAACCTGAACTGCTTGCCCTTGCAAAACTTACTGACTTTTCTTGT